AAATGAGAAGAATCTGTGTTGAAAATCAGATTTAGAAATCTAATCTGATACATACATACATACATACATACATACATACATACATATATATATATATATATATATATATATATATATATATATATATATATGATTGAGAGAGGTATGAAATTAATCCCTCCATAAACTCTACCATGTCTCTTTAACTATCCTTTTACACTCTCTGTTAAATTACAAAAACTTACACTACCCATCAATTTTAATTTCATTTTTCGTTTCATTTCATTTTTTGGAAGTGCTATCTGATGATCCAGCGTCCTTTAAAAGGGCTCTGGTGAAATAAATTACTATAATGGTACCTTAAAAGTGGTCTGTTTTTCTTATATATATATATATATATATATATATATATATATATATATATATATATATATAGAGAGAGAGAGAGAGAGGGGGGAGGGGGTGCGATGGGTAAATTGTCGCCATTTTATATTTTTAATTTGACGTAAGTGTGTTGTTTGTTTTGATTTTATCAACTGCAAAAGTATCGTCAGGTCAGCTGGGTACCGCCTGTAAGAAAAAGAGCCCAATGACGCAATTCCCTCCCGCCATAAATTTGGTAACGGCATGCTGTACTGCTTGACATTCGCACCGAAATCACCAATACGAACATTTCATTGTATTTTGGGTGCAGTGTAGCGGGTTTTGAAAGAGTTGGATGAGTCTAATGGTGATTACGAAGGTGTTTGGAGTAGTCACTAGTGATGGCAACGTTATGCTTCCATTCATCTTCCCACAGGGCTTCAGATTCAACACGGAGGTCTACATCAAGTGCCTTTAAGAGGTAGTGCTGCCCTTGGTCAAGAGAATGGATACTGGCAGATTATATATCTAGCAACAGGACTCTTCACCATGTCACACAAGCAGGAGAACCCAGTCATGGCTGTCAGACAATTACTGCGGCCACTCCGCTCCTTACATCTGGCCATTTAATTCCCCAGACTGCAGCATCCTTGATTATTATGTGTGGCGCGCGGTTGAGAGAGAGACCAAAAAAAAAAAAAAAAATTCCTTTTAACATCAAAGATGAACCGATAGCAAGGATTATGGCAGTATTCAGCAACTTAAACAAGGAGACCGCCCAGAAGAGTTGCAGAAGATTCTGCTGTCGTCTGGAGGCCGTGGTTGAAACCAATGGCGATTTGATTGAATAAATTTACCCTTTACTATGTCAAGATATTTGTGTGTAATTTTAATCAATACTAGCAGCATGGCCCGTGCTTGATTCAAAAATCGTACAACTCATACAGCAATCGCTATCACTTGATTTAAAAATATTTTTGCCCTTCCTTGCCTTTAAAGGAGTGCCCTTTGCCTTGCTGATGTTGCTACATGCCTTACTTCTTGCCTATCTCACACTGCGAATTTTTTCTAAGCTCTATACTGAACATTAAATCTGTTATGAAAAAAAGAACTAAACAAAATGAACACAAAATGATCAGCTTTAAAGAAGGACTCGTAACTGGAAAAATCGAATGAAAAAAGAATGTTAACAGCAAATACTTTTTCACACCCAACCCAGTTCTGCGGAATCAGAATCAACGTTGAGTTGAAGCAAGCGAATGAGCCAATTGGAATAAAGTGCCATGCAGATTTAAATTTTTCCCAATTGTGACGAATGCAGCTATCGATTTTTTTTTTGCATGCTAGCATGCTAATTAACATTTGTGTCAGTCAGCTGTTGGCTCTCACGCTGGCCAATAGAATCTTCCTGCCTATTCGTGGCAGCCAGCTATTGGCTCTCTCTATTGGCCAGTAGAAAATGGCCGCAAACTACATGAAAACTGCCGTAGAAGCATGAAATATCGATTATTTCCACTATCGATGGGAGTTGGGAAATGCAAAGTCGGTCTTGGCCCTCTCGCTAATTTGGAGCATGTGCATGTAAATTTTGGTGCAAATCCGTCAAAAATTGCGACCGTGCATTCGTTACACACACACACACACACACACACACACACACACACACAGACATCCTGCCTTTTATAGATAGAGATACTGGACATCATAAATTCATGATTTTAACCACCTCAAAAAATTACCTGTGTATAGTGCAAACCCCTAGTTCACATCCTACCTGTTATAGAGATATATTTTAAAATGAGTTGTTTGTGTCATTTTCATTTTTGAGTAATTTAGACGATAATTTATCCATCGCACCCTGTATAGATAAGATAGAAAAAATAGATAACCAAAAAAACAAAAACAAAAAAAGACAAAAAATGCAAAAACATTTAGCCGTCATATAAATGACGTAATTCTCGTTATGTCTAGGCAAATGTAGATTTAGTTGAACTAAAATCCATTTTTCTTATCAGGCTCTTTTGTCAGCGAAACATATTATAACAAGTTTTTCAAATTGTTTTACATATTAACCATAGATGGATAGATAGATAAATATGAAAAACAATTGATCAGTGTTCCCTGATTCTTATTACGTGCCTTCTGTCTCGTTTCATAGTCGATAGTTTCATAATTTTCTGTCCTTTTGATGAAGACATGAATGTAAATACTTACAAAACGTACACAGTATCTAATACAACTTCCTTCCATTTCAAACTACAAATGTATCAAGAACACGTTCTTCTGTCAAATTTTGGAGGCTGCAAAAGAACATGCAAGTATTTAACTGTCCCAAATACTTACGGGGGCTTTTCCTGTACTGTTGTGAAGTGTATAGTGTCTGTTGTCTTTCCAATTGTAATATTTCTATTAAAGATTAAGAAAATCGACTTTATTCCTCTTGAAATTGCTTCCATCAGAATGTCATATACGCATCGTATTATCTTTTCCTCTTTTCAAATATAGTAAGCCAAACCTTTGTTCGGGATCGCCCTTAAGTTTCCAACTATAATATTTCTATTAAAGATTAAGAAAACCTGTATATATATATATATATATATATATATATATATATATATATATATATATATATAGTGTAACCCGGATATAAGAGAGTTGTCGGGACCGGATTAAACCAGGACAGAAATTCTTAGCTCTAATTAATAAACACTTCCCCACCAATAGTAAGCTTAGTAATATATTCAATAAGAACACCCTAAAATTGAGCTACAGCTGCTCTGATAATCTTGAACGCATAATAAAAAAACACAATAATAAGATCTTGAACAAACCCCCATGCCAAAACAGTATTAATAAAAACTCTACACTTAAATCAGATGATAATAGGGAAAAATTATGTAACTGTAGAAACCCAGAAGACTGCCCATTAGAAAATAAATGTTGTATTAATTCTGTGGTATACCAATGTACTATTTCATCCACAGAGAGCCCTAGCACTAATATGATATACATTGGGTCCACGAAGAATAATTTTAAAGATAGATGGAGGCAGCATAAGTGCTCCTTTAATAATATAAACAAACGAAATCAGACTTCACTATCAAAATATTTTTGGCACCTGAAGGAAACAAATAAGACACCAAAAGTTAAATGGAAAATTATTGACAAGGCTAGAATATGTAAAGCTTGGGATGACCCATGCCCTTTGTGCCTCCATGAAAAATTGCACATTATTAAACTTCTAAATAATAATAATCTACTAAATAATAGACACGAGTTAACGGTTTTTTGTAGGCATCATCAGATTTTTGGTTTGAATTATTAGATAAAAATATTTATATAACTTGTTTAACAAATAGCCCAATCATCAGATTCATAGTAGGAATAATTAACTACAAACATTCATACAACATAACACACTTCATAATCCATAGCCTAAATTAGTAGTTTAAATACCTTACATATAAGATAACCCTTTATGAAGTCGTCAAAAAACAAACATTACGAAAGTTTTTCTTTTTTTATATGCACAATTCCCTTTCATAATAAAATAAAATAAAATAAATAAATAAATAAATCTCCATAGACAAGCAAACTAGACGATGGCCAATATATCTTCCGTTTCATTTTTGACACCCCCACCTTTCCCCGACTTGACACCTTGAAAGTATCTCTATACCGCTACTTATTATAAACACCCTACACTCGCCTACCCAATTTAGACAATTCACCATAGCTGTTACCATGGGGATTTTGATTTCAATTTTAAAACAAGTAAATTTCAGATATACGTTATTCCAACAAAATTTCGCTTGAAGATGGAACGGAGCCCATTTTACTTTCAACTCAATTTAATTTAAAGGATTATATTGAAGTTTTCGGCTCTTGTTTTGAAACATGAGACCTCTTATGTAGCGATTTGGAATCATATTTTTAAATAAATAATTATATATATATATATATATATATATATATATATATATATATGTGTGTGTGTGTGTGTGTGTGTGTGTGTGTGTGTGTGTGTGTGTGTGTGTGTGTGTGTGTGTGTGTGCAGCCTATGCTGCTTCATTCACACTCACCAGTGTTCTTCTGTCAAATAATTTTACTTCATTCCAGAGGGTTTGATGTTTGGCTTTTTTTCACTCTTTTCGCCCACAACAGCATATTTCACCTTTGTATTGATTGCTGCAACTGCAAAAATAAATATAAATGACAGCAAGGCTTTAACAGCAGCAGCAGCAGCAGCAAGGAAAGCGTAGCCTTGATGTCAACTGCGACAAGTAACAGCAGTGTCATCAGCAGGTAAATGTGTTAAGGCTCCAAGTTCTAGACTTGGGATTAAAGGAACAACAGACTACTGGATTAAAGCTAGATAAGTGTGTATGTAGGGGCACGATAAACATCAGAAATCTCCTACTAGTTATCTCCCTTAGCATGAGTAGTACAATCTATCGAGTTCTGTGGATTGTACAGATTGTTGGGTCCAAAACTCATAAAAGGGTTAATGAATATGGCAGATACGTGCCCGAGGAAAGCCTGAGATTAAAACGATCAAAACAATATAAGTCATATCTATAAGAACCAAGATGAAAAGAAAAGAACAATCTATATTAATGATAATTGCGCACCTCAGAAGGTACTTAGAAAACCTAATTATGCACCACTGCACACGATATCTATCTATCTATCTATCTATCTATCTATGTTCATATTTATTTCACTCTTTTCCTATCTATACCACTCACTTAATATCTATAGTAGTCTCTTCATATCTATCTATCTATCTATCTATCTATCTATCTATCTATCTATCTATCTTCATATTTATCAAACTCACTTTTTTCATATCTATACTCTCACTTAATATCTATAGTAGTCTATTCAATATCTATCTATCTATCTATCTATCTATCTATCTATCTATCTATCTATCACATTTTGTTCATATTTATCTATCAATCTTTTTCTATCAATACCAGTCTCTTCATATCTATACTAATCACTTCATATCTATCTATCTATCTATCTATCTATCTATCTGGTTTCGTGTCGTGTGCATGTGTACAGATAATGACTATCTGCTGAAATATTTGAATTTGGTATATTTGTAATTATTGGCAGGCAAGAGAATTCAATAACATTTCGCGCAACGTCATTTGTAGGAATTCCCGTTGGATGACGGCGAACAGAGGAGGTGGAGATCAAAATTTGGGGTACTTCCTCATGAAATTTGTTTGATTCATTTCTTAGTAATTTAATAAGAAATATGTTGCATGGCGACGAATCTGAAAACGGTATGCGTGTATATATATATATATATATATATATATATATATATATATATATATATATACTGTTTTTTATTATTAAAGGGTTGATTATTTTATTATAAGTTGTCTTATGAGTGAATGCGCCAGGGATCATGATTCTGATCTGGCAATTTGTCTACATGACCATGGATTTCTATCAAATTCAGTGTGTTTATTTCCTATATGTGATACTTAGTTATTTTTTGTCTATATCTGTCAATCTGATTGGGATGATATCTTTATCTTATGCAATATGTAAATCTGATGAGTTGCGTGTCAATTCCTTCTATTCTAGTCATAGCTATCTATCTATCTATCTATCTATCTATCTATCTATCTATCTATCTATCTATCTATCTATCTCATTTCGTTCATATGCATTTATTTCATTTCATATCCATATAAGACTCTTCATATCTATCTATCTATCTATCTATCTATCTATCTATCTATCTATCTATCTATCTATCTATCTATCACACTTTGTTCATATATATTTATCAATCTCATTTCATATCAATACCAGAATCTTCATATCTATACCAGTCTTTTCAATCAATCTATCTATCTATCTATCTATCTATCTATCTATCTATCTATCTATCTATCTATCTATATATATATATATATATTGTATGTATTTAGGCAGCACCTTTTCATTCATACACGTTTCATTAAATAATATAGACAAGTGTTGCAAGCTTAAGTAAGACGAAAGCTTAGATTGTATTAAAAAAAATATGGATCAATATTGTGAATTTCTTTCTTCGTTCAACGATAATGTTATTAAATTTATCAGATGTTACGAAAAAAAAAATTACATAAAATAAATAGACAACACTTGTATATGTTATTTAATGAAACGTGTATATATATATATATATATATATATATATATATATATATATATATATATATATATATATATATATATATATGTAGATAAACAGTTATATAGATAAATAGATCATTTAAATTATTTCAACATTAATTAAATATTTTCGTCATAACGTTTCTTCGTAATGTTCATTCCAATAATATAAAACAAATAACCTGATTAAACTTTTCCTAATTTACTTATTTAAACAAATTTTACATTAAGTTTCATATTAAAAATACCTCGTGCTTTTTTCTTTTTTAATTCCAAGGCAGTACTTTTTTTTTATTAAGGGAAGAAATTGCGTTTCGTGTCGAATGAAACGCTATACCTCACGCGTGCTGAGCGTTATAAGCACAATCTGCTTTTTACAGAAGATAAATTTAATTTCAGTTAATTTTTCTGAAAGAAATATACACTCTTTGCAAACAGTCTGGATTAAAGATAGATTTAATTAATTATTGCTACCTCTATTTTAGAAGTTTAGATTTAATTCGCATATATAAAAAGCTGTTTGAATCATAAATAATTTCCGCTTTTGCTTATCAACTTTATTCTTTCAAAAGTAAAATCCAATTCTATTTTATTCCATTATATATTCACCATTATTTGCAATGACTTGTCAGGCCGCTCTTCGATACTTTATGCGTAAAGTTCTTCAGCTGTTGATGGGGAAAAGTTTTTAACAATCTCTTGAATCTGGTTTTCACCAGAGAAAGTTTTCCCAATTGAATCAAGGATCAAAAATGGTAATAATTTGCTGGTGCAAGGTCAGGTGAATATGGCAGGTACAGTAAGAACAGAGCAACCAAATTATTCCTCTCCTCCACCAGTTATTACCCTTTTGTCACTGATCGTATCTTGGAACGTCTTTTGACGAGATACATTCCTTATTCCCACCAAACCGGATCTTTATGCCACATTCACAAGAGTGAATTGTCGCCATTTCCTTAGTAAGAAGTTTGTTTTATTAGGACAGCGTCTTCCCAAGAACTGTTGCTTTGTGAAACAGACTCTTGACAGGATGTTTTCCCAGTCACAACAATCTTTACCTATTCAAGTCTACACTCCGTGCCAAATTATTATCGAGCTAACTTTTTTTCTAATATTTCAAAAACCATCCAATCAATTCGCACAATGTTGGCAACACTGACCTGCGCAATCACTGAAATTTTCGTAATGATCTGCGCAATGTAAACAAACTGGCGCCGTATTTGTTATCAGCTCAAAATTTTGTGTGAATTGATTGGACGGTTTTTGAAATATTAGGAAAATAGATATCTGGATAATAATTTGGCACGCAGTGTAGCTAACGGCTATCTTTCCTGTACAAACCTGTGAATTTCACTTCTTGACTTTTCTTGCGGTCATGCACCCATGTGTAAATTAAACAACCGCTTTAGTTTCCTTTCTTTCACTATACGCTCAGTTTTAGACCCACTTGGGTGACATGGTGTAATCGATTTCTATTTTTCCTCAGATTATGTCAATTGCAGTGGTATGCAGTAATATAAATCTATTTTCGGGTTGTATGATGAAATTTATTTGGCTTTGAAAAATATTGCATTATTCGTGATTGCAGCAGATTTTCATCACGTCCAGACACTATTGTCTAGACTGTCGATTAGTTGTCCTACGGCCATTTTCTACGATGGACGTTACTCCAGGGAAATGTACGAAAATTGTAACTCTGCATGAACACACTGGCAAGCCTTACCAGTGATCAAATTAAAGAATTATTCGTTCTGTTTCAATCAATTTGCATAAGGTTGTACGACATTACACAGTAACATTCTACGTTGAGTGTCTCTTGGACCTTAATTAACTTAAAAAAAACCTGCTTTTGGTACGTCCGATCATTCAGTGCCTTCTCCATAAACGACACAAATTTGACCAAATTACCAAATATTCAGAATTTCGTTGGGGGGGGGGATCTTCTTGGTCAGGCTAAGAACTTTTCAGCAACCTACAGTTATCGCAAGAATTATCTATATTAACCATTATGACGAAGCGCTCCTCGTGGCCTCTAATGACCAAACCACGATAAAATCACTGACTATCATTGCGAGAATAGAGGGAGGGATTTAAAGAAATACTTCTTCTTGAATAAAACGTTAAAAATTCCCACGGAAAAAAAACCAAAACAAAACAAACAAAAAAAAAAATATTAGGTTGAGTCATAAATAATTTCCGTTCTTATTTATAAACTTCATTCTTCAGAAAATAAAATACAATTATATTTTATTCAATTATATATTCATCATTATTTGCAAGGCTTTATTGTCACATATCCAGTAGCTCTTCAGTACGTTTTCAGTAATATTCCGCAGGTTTTAACGTGAAGAAAACGTTTTCGATGAATCCGGTTTTCCACATAGAAAGTTTTTTTTTCCCCATCAAAGCCTTTTTGTAAAGATCGAGAAGAGGTAATAACTGGTTGGTGAAAGGTCAAGTAAATATGGCGGATCGGGTATAGACATTCATTTGTTAATCGCTAGGATAACATATTATGGTAACAATATCAGCAAAAAAAAAGAAAAAAAAACAAACAAAAAAACACACAAAAACCAAAAAACAACAACAACAAAAACAACAACAACAACAAAAAAACAAAAAAAAAGGACCCCAAATGAATGAGTTTGAGTGTTTGAATATTTTTTGAGATGATAATAATTCTTCTCAAAATTATCTAACGTATCTTTCTAAATCTAAGGAAAGCCGTAGAATAGATCTGCCGGTGTGTTATGGTAAAAAAATCACCCAGAAAACCTCGAATGTCTTTCACTGTTCGAATAACTCTTTGTGTGATAATTTCACCCAATATAATATTTATACTAATCACTTCATATCTATCTATCTATCTATCTATCTATCTATCTATCTATCTATCTATCTCAGTCTTTTCATATCTATCTATCTATCTATCTATCTATCTATCTATCTATCTATCTATCTATCTATCTATCTATCTATCTATCTATCTATCTATCTATATGGTTTCGTGTCGTGTGCATGTGTATAGATAATGACTATCTGCTGAAATATTTGAATTTGATATATTTGTCAAAGAAGGATGTAGAATAAATCGCCCGAATTCTTTTTCTTCTTCTCTTTTGTACCGTGTTCCTTCAGGGAACTTTAATTAAAGCAATGATGGCACCTACACTGAATCCATCATTAAAAATACAGCATGTGGAATTAGTAAATACTAAATACTTCAAATAACTCGTTGTAGGATCTTCTTTTATATGCCGTGTCCCTTCAGGACGTAGGCGATTATGGTCTTCCACATTTTCCTGTTCTTCGTAGCTCTTTTTTTTTTGTTATATCTTCTAAACATTTACTTACTACCTCTGTACCATTTGCTTCCAATCTGCCTTGTGAGTATTAAATTTTCCAAGTCCGCTTTCCTCATTACGTGCACTAGATATTTCATCTCTTTATTATGTTAAGTATAAGAGTCTATTTTCATTCCATTTTCTTTAAAATTTCGTCGTCGCTCATATGTTTGATTCATAGTATTCTCAGCATCCTCTTGTAGAACAATAGAGATTGTTCAGCATTCACTGCCATAAAGGAGGATTAATATTACGCAATAGGTCAGTGCTCTTTGTTTCTAACGAAATTTTCCTGTTTCTTGATACTTTGTTTGGCTTTTGGAAGGCATCTTTCGATTATCCAATACGCCTGCGAATTTCCGTGCCGCATTTTCCGTCCTCTGTTATAACGCTTCCAAGATATTTAAATTGTTGTACTTGCTTGATTTTGGTATCCCCAATTTGTAATTCGCTTCTTGTGTTGTCCCTTTTGCTAACAACTTTAAATTCTGATTATAATATTACTTAACTATAAAACGATTTTAGGTAAACATAGAAGAAATGGAATGAGGGGCAAAAAAAGGGCACAAATAGACATGTTACTTCATTATATTAATTTACCTAAATGGCACACCCAACATTTGGCGCCCGGAAAGGACCACTTCCCCACCCAATCTAGGTCCGCCACTATCTTTCATCAACCTTAGTAGTCCTGTAAAATATATACATAATGCAAGGGTCTTCACTTTTCATTTATAGAGTTCAAAATAGTTTCCGATGTCTTATAAGGGATTCATTATTTTTCCAAGTATGCAGCCTCTTTCCCCGCAGACACAAATCTATCTTTACTCTATCGCTATTTCCATGGCAAATGTTCGGATGGGTTGCACTCTTTAGGCCCATCAATTTAGCCCTTTATTGCTAGGAATCATCATCACCCCCAGAATCGAATCACCCACATTTCCCCCATGTTCCAATTGTAAGGAAGAAGTTCTACTCAGACAAAGTCAACCAATCAAACCTATTTCAGTTTTGCACTTTCCGTCCTTTGTTGAAACACTTCCAAGATATTTAAATTGTTGTACTTGTTTGACTTTGGTATCCCCAATTTGTAATTTGCATGTCGGGCTGTCCATTTTGCTGACAACCATCAAAATAAGTAATAAAAAAGAAAGTGTTTCAGTGCCTGAATAAGTTGTCGAATGATATTAACCTCTTAAAAATGCAGAATGTAATTTTGTAAACCCTAGAAATGAATTAGGCAAAATATGGTAATTACAAAGATATATATATATATATATATATATATATATATATATATATATATATATATATATAAAGATGTGTTTATTTGTCTAAACGAATCTCTGGATGATAATGACTCTTTTTTTTTTTTAAAAAAAAAAAAAAGACAAAAAAAAATGTATCTTTGTAAACCTGAAGAAGGCTGTAGAATGAATCGGCTGGGATGGTATAGCTGAGTGTAGCTGAGATCTGGTACAAGGCTGAAAGTTCAGTGCACCCAATCAGGATCAAACTCACTATTCAGTCGTAATTGATCTACGAGACCAGATTGCTAACCATTACACCACGTCGAGGTGCCCTCAACGACGCAGGTATATGAAAGAATAAATGTAACTGCTTGAACAGGATGTATCTTTTTAAGCACGTGGAAGGCTGTAGAATGGGTCAGTCGAGATGATATCTTAACAGCATCAGCGTAAAAAAATGAGTTTGATTGTCTGAATACACTTAGAATGGAAATGACTCTTTTCTAAATTACAGAATGAGTAAACTTGAAGAACGCTGTAAAATGGATCTGCCGAGATATTATGGCAACATTAGCCGCAGCAAAAAAGATTGGCTGAACAACTCAATGAATGATAATGATTCTTCTCAAAATCATAGAAAGTAACTTTTAAACACGAAGAAGGATGTAGAATGGAACGGCTGATATTTTATGGCAACATAATCGGCAGCAAAAAAGAATGACTAAGTGTTTGAATAACTCATCGAATGGTAATGATTCTTCTCAAAATCACAGAATGTAAGAACAACATTACATATTGAATCAGAATAATAATTTGACTGATTAATTTGCGTTGGTGCTGTTGTTATTGTTTTAATATTATCCTATTTATATCTATTTTATTTTCATTAGTAGAAAAGAATAATGAGTCAGGTCAATCAATTTAAATCAAATAGAAAAAAAAGATATAATTACTTTTGCATCGATTTCTCTTTTTATCGAACGATTATCAGAGAATCACTTCTCTCCCAGACACCCACAGTGGCTGCCTTCAGAATCGGCGCTTCGGTAAAGTTGCTATTGTTTTTTAAATACTGTTTTAGTCATGAAGCTGAAAATTACTTTTCATTCATTTAAAAAAAAATAATTTACATTATAAAAGTTGCAATACAAATTTTTCAATAATGACTGTTACCTATCAAGGTTGACAAAGAGTGTAGCAGACTCTTTTATTTTACTTTTGACCGGAGCGGTAAGGTAGACGATAGAGGGGTTTGCCGAAATGTTTACTTACTCACCTTTACCATCAACCATCGTTTAATATATATATATACAGTGTAACCTGGATATAAGAGACCCGGATCTAAGAGAAACCTGGATATAAGAGATTTTCTCTGGTCCCAAATTAGAGCCTGTGTTACCTAAACAAAATAGACCAAACCCGGATATAAGAAAAACCCGGATATAACCTTCTCGGTATAAGACAACTCTCTTCTCGGTCCTGAAAATATATATATATATATATATATATATATATATATATATATATATATTAGGTATATTCAAATACTTCCAGCGTTCTTGTTTTCGAAAAAGAGATATATATATTTGTATATATATATATATATATATATATATATATATATATATATATATATAAATAGATTATATTTATAAATAGATTATATTTACCACACCTGAATAAAATGATGTTTAAAAAAGGGTTCGTATTTTATTCATAAAAAAGGATACAAAAGTATCCGGCGATTAAATTTCTAGTACCTTTCGGCCGACATATCTTCAGAAAAATTAATATCATCGGCAACTAAAACTAAGTGGTTGAAAAGAAAAATTTATTTTCAACAACTGGTTTTAAAATATACCAAAACTAGGGAAAGGGACAAAAAAATAAAAAGACACTAGTTAGGCAGTTAGTTATTCAATGCCTAACTAGTTCCTAGTTAGGCATTGAATTGACCACCGTCTCCCCGAACAAGGTCAATTCGTGTTTTAATTCTCTCTACCTATACAGGACAGGACGTTGTATATTAATAACAACAGACTCCAAGATGTCCAGGTAGAGTCTGGTCTGTGCCCTGTGAAGGACAGAGAAGAAGAAGAGCAGATTAGTCCGTCCTGCAAGCAATAAAATTTAATAAATGCTCGCCGATAGCGGGGTCATGACCCTGTGAACACCCGGATGCTACAGACTCATGTCTACGTACTTGGCCCGCAACGTACTGGGTGATCCTAACCTCTAACGGCTGGAACCATTAGAACCAAATGAATTAAAAAAATTTGCCACTCAAGCCCTAAAGAAACAAACCATTTACCGCATTCGTTACAAATCTGATGCCACTGGCTCAATTCTTAATGCCCCCCCCAAAAAAAACTGTTCGACTCAAAACAGTTTGCAGAAAGGACTATGAGCAACTTGTTGCATAAACATTTTTTCACAATCCCAAAAAGTCCATCAGAAGACCCTCAACTGAGTTGAATATTCCACATACCTCTATTATACGAATTCTGAAATCTATTGGGTTGAAAGCTTATCGCCCACGGCTCATTCATGTCTTATTGGAGGATGACCCAGACAGGCGACTGCAATTTAGGTCGATCATGCAGAACGAAATTAAAAACAATCCAATAATTTTACATAGCATTGTGTGGACTGATGAGGCTTCTTTTGAAATTATCAGGTCATATTAACCGATATAATTGTGTTTACTGGTATAGTGAGAACTAGACTGATGTCGCTGTTTGGGGTGGTATTTCAAGTTATGGTGTTTTAAGACCATTTTTTTTTATGAAACAGTCACAGGCGATTAGAATCTCGGAATTCTAATGAATCAAGTTGTTCCAAAGTTACAAAAACAGCCTAATTCCCATGACCTTTATTTCTAACAAGATGGGGCCAATCCACATTATTCAAGAGCGGTCAGTGAGTATCTTGATGAAATATTGCCTGAGAATTGAATTGGGCGAAGAGCTCCTCACGTTCACCTGTGAATGGATTTTTTTTCTTTTGGGGCCTACTCAAGAACAAAGTTTATAGTCGAAAACCACAAAGTGTTAGCGATTTCAAAAATTACATCATAAATGCATTTGAAGATACACGAAGACGCTTGTGCAAAAATGTTTGTCGAAGTGTGGAAGGTAGTTATGGGAATTGTGATGGACAGCAGTTTGAGCACCTGCGTTGATGAAATGTTCAGTGCGATTGCATTGTATTACTGTATACAATAAATTTTAATTGTATATGTAATAATTGTTTATCAAAATTTAATTCAATGGGGTGTTTCATTAAGACGGATCAAAGTCAGCAGTAAATAAATCAGTGTTATTGGCAAAAATTTATTTATTTTTCTATTGGATCATATTATTTAAGTCATGGCAATTATGTGTGAAAAATAATATCGTCCAAATGTCCGCCATGGTTTTGGTGGCACACCTCCA